GATCCTCCAGCACTGACTGGGAAGGCTTAGCTGGCTCTGCCTCTAGATAGGCAGAGCCTGCTGTCAATCAGCCAGCAGGGTGGATGTCGACAGTATTGGCTACGACACTTTCAGCATATAGCGGGCAATAGCCTGCTATACAGTGTACTGAGTTTTGGGTCACGGGAGGAGGTTAGTATATGTCCTCTTGTGACCCTAAAGAGAACTATGGGGAAAAAAAGGTTACCCCATAGTTCTCTTTTTAATACAAAATTCCTCAAACATTGCTGGAAAATGTGAAGAAAACATCTTTATAAATAGTCCATACATGTGCCTGATAAAAAGTCTATAAGAAACAATCTCCAGTATCCAGGGGGTTGTAGACCTTGTCTGTGTGTGCCTCTGTAATTTTAAAGACCATTGGTGTTTGACAATTTATTTTCTTATACATGCATTTCTGTACTGTATTCCGTGAATATACTCTAGTAACACAGAGGTAACAGTAACAGCGCAATAGTATTGTGGCACTTGCTCTACCCATGTTGTCTTCTTCTCAGCCTCCTCAACTGCAAGTCATAAAAAAGATATGTGTGGGCCAGATAGATAAATGCTGGTCTCTTAGTGATTAGCCACCTGTACTGAATGCTTTTGAGCTATATCATGTGTATCTACATGAGGCAAGCATGAGAAACAGTTGGAGAAGTTGAGAAGAAGGTGAGTGCACAGTTGGTATGTTGTCATGCATACACTGTTTAACCCCAAATTTAGAGGATTTATACCACTAATACTAAGAAGTGAATATATACAGTATATAACTAATGTGAAAATTAGCAAAAGCTGGGGTACTGAGGTTGCCTACCAATGCTCTAGACCATTGGCAATCAGGGCCTGAATTGATTGTACTAGATTAGTTATATATATATATATACACACGGGGAAGGAGGGTTCTAGTCACAATGATTTTAGTAATATATAAATCTCTAATGGTGGGTCTCCTATAATATATCATATATTAATGACCACATGTCCCCTTTAAAGGAGATCCCAACATCATTCCAATAATGCAACTATAATTTGATATAAAATTAATGCAATTTATTAAACATATCTAACAACACATTTAAAAGACATATAAAATACTATATTGCACACTCTATTCACTCGGCTATCCGTAAATAAAGTAAAACTTTGTAAATGGACATCAAATGTCCGAAACTGCTAAAGGTAAAGCAATGTGTGTAAACAAATTTAATCCACAGATACCCAGTATCCAATCCTCAATATATGATCCGGAAAGTCCTCAATTTTCAGAGAGGTCAAAAACAAATCCGTGTGTGTCATATACACGAGCCAAACAGACATCTAAAGGCTAAGTTCCAATCAGTATCAGTGTGAAAATGTGGACTCAATGGCTAATGTGCTCCAGATCATGTGTAACATCTGACACCATCTATGTCCATAGAAGTATTTCTGCAGGTAAATTCAAATTGGTGTATGGCCGTACATAAACTTCAAGTATACGTATACTTATCTAGCCTGCAAGTGTCGTCAATACAATCAGCGGATCCAGAGGACGTCTTGTAATCAGCAAGTGTCCGTAATGTAACCCATAGTATCATATTTGGATCACTGTGGATATGTAGCAGATTCGAACAAGATGTCCATGAGCCGAGGAAAAGGGCTTTAAAGGGGACATGTGGTCATTGATACAAGATTAGTTACATTTAGGGCTGCAACAACTAATCAACATAATCGATTATAATCGATTATTGAAAAAGTTGTCAACTTTTTCAATAATCGATTAATCGGCTTCCAATCAGTTGGCCCTGTTTACGGCTCCACACGCTGTGCCCCGCACCTCCTCCCCACCTCACGCTCGCCCCTGCCAGACCCGCTCGCATGCACGCTCCACATGCCGCATTAATGTAAACCCTTTACCCTGCTTGTCATCAGTGCAGTGAGGGATGTCTTCTATCTTCGACTTCCATTGTTAAATGATGCAGAGCCATAATGAAAGTATAGGATGGAGATCTCTCACTCCACCAGGTGAGTGGCACACTTTTAACAGGTCTGGATAAGGGTAACTGTTTACAGTGACAATGTCAGTTAAGGTAACTAATGTAGCACAGTTGAGTCCTAGTTACTGTTGGTCTAGCAGTCTGATGGAACAATAACACAATTTTCAAATGTATGTACAGTTCTTTACATGAATTAATGGTAGTTTTTACTGATCTGTATTCAACTTGCTGCTATATGAAGATACAACACACCTTCAGATTAAAGAGAAACTTTACCCATATTTTCAAAATAACAACAAAGGCACCTTTAGAAATGTTTAGTAATGGAAATCTATAAACAGATACTTATAGATAATTGCCGGCTTTTTATTCTTTCCATACCTTATTTTTATTTTTCTCTCCATTCTTCTGCCATTTTTACTAAAGGCAAATAAATTAATCTTCCTTTACTTCCTGGAAACACTGGCATGTGACTAGGACATGTGACCATGCACATTATCTCAGGAGAGGAAAATTCCTTTCCTGATCCTGTGAGATTGCAGATGAGATTTCCCAGCAATACACTGCTGACGTAACCTTTCCAGAATGCAACACTTGGGCACATTACATCAACCAGGAAGTAAAAAACAAGACATTGTAAGTAAATGTAAGTATATACATTTGTTTAACTAATGAATATAAGATGATTTCATATCAGCTTGCAGAGCTGAATTCTAATGTGATTTTAGCCAAAAGAAGGTAAAGGTCCACTTTAAGGATTTAAGAATATAGCAAGAAGCATCTTGCCTCTCGTACCTCAAGACCTGCACTGGGTGATAGGAGGAGGGTGGGGGTATTTAGGAAGATTTAAAATGAGTTGTAACCAACTTGTAGGGTTTTATGTGCAAAGTCAAGGTCACATTCCCTTGACACATCCCCTGACAACCCTACATATATCAATAGTGCCAGGGAACAGCATATTGCCCCACCAAGATATGTATGCGATTGGGCTGGTGTCAGTAAGGGGTACTTTATGTAAACCACTTGGAAGTATGTGGTTTTCTGCATACATTTTCCAAAAAATGTGGTCTGATCCTCATCTAACTCACAACAATAGAAAAACACAACCTGCTTAAGCTGATAACACACAAACAATTCTAATTTCTAGTGTCTTTATTGAACACACTTGTGAAACATTTACAGTGCTGGAGAAAAAAGTAAGTGAACCCATAGACTACCGTATTTTGCGGTCTATAAGACGCTCCGGACGATAGGACGCATGGCTTCTGTGACAGAAATTCACAGAAGCTGCAGTTAGTGACTGCTGAGACAGGTGGCGCTGTCTCAGTAATCACACAGAGCAGACGAAGAACGCCGTTCTTCGTCTGCTCAATGGGCTCTATGGTGAGCTCCTATGGGGGATCGTGACGGGTCACAGTCCCGCAGAGGAACGGGGGACCCAGAAAACCTCGGCAGGGGGCGGACACTATCGCCGATGCCGCCGCCGCTCGATTTAATACAAGGGATCTACTTAGATCGCTTGTATTAAACGAACCGTGGCTCCCACTGTACATTCAGCTCTGCTTGTCAGGAGCAGGGCTGAATGTACAAAAAGAAACTACTCGCCCGGCGC